GTCTGCGCCCCTTGGGGCGTCGAGGCTGGCCACCGAAACGCCACAGGCTACTGTCGCGAGTAGGCTGAGTAAACTGGGTAGGAACTCGGAGCTCGCGGGTGACAACCCGGAGGGGCCCTGACCCCATTCCCTACTCCATCCTCTCCGTGGGACTCCAGCTTGGCGAGGCTGCGGCCAGGATGTAGCTGTCCCCACTGTGAAGGAGCCCCCAGGGTGACCAGCTGCGAGGTGAGCCTGCTGCCCGCCCCGCCAGAGTGGCCCAGGCATCTCGCAGGCAGCCGTCGCACAGCAGAGGCGCTGTTTATTTGGCTTTCTGAAAAGAAGGGCGAATGAACAAAGCTGGGGGCTCATGAAGAGGGGGCAGGAAGGGGGGGTGAGAAAAAGAAAAGGGACACCCTCATTTCCGAGAAAAATTTTAAAGGTCAGAGGCAACTTTAGGAGCCACCATTTTATGGGTCCTAAATCTCGTGGAGTGAAAACATTAAAGTGACAAAGTGATTCTGTTTGTTTTATAGTATCTAATTGGGCTGCTTTGCAGACCTAATGAGATTAGAGGGAGGAATCGTTTGCCGCCACTGCAGAATAAACTGATACATTACTACCAGCCACAGGTTTGGAGGATTGTAAGCTTGTTTTTTTTTTTTCTTCTTCTTTTGTTGTTATTCCTCTATTTTCTCTTTCCCCCTCCTGCCAAATAATTATTTGCAAGTAGATCGTGGGAAAAAAAAGCGGAGAAAAAATCCTAGCATCCTAGGACTATAATACATATCTATTTATTATATGTCTTTCGGTTAATTCCAGATCTGAGGAGCGCTGTTTTTCACTCCTATGCGAAAGTCACCAGCGGGTAGGGCCTGATTGCTACTTTTCATGCATAGTTTTAGACACAAGAGGGCATTGTGACGTCGCTCCCGGCAGCGCCCAATTGCAGGGCCAGTTCCGCGGCCCCACGTGGGGGTCCCGCGCTTCCATTGGCCAGCGCCGAGCGAAGCTGCCACATTATTTTGTTACTTTTCAGTCCCTATTTGGAACTGCTCTCGCGGCAGTTCAGACCTCGTGCTCTTCCTCTTCGCCTGTGTGTGGTATCCGCAGGTCTGAGGCACTTTTTTGGGTGTGTATATGCGTGTGTGGTGAGTGTGTGTGTGTGTGTGTGTGTGTGTGTATGTTGGGGTTTGTCGGGGCACGGAGCGGAGAGCCGGGCCGAGGGAAGGAAGGAAGCCGCAGAGCTCCCCGGACTCCGACTGCGTCTCCTCTACAGCGCTCTCCTGCCGGCGCGCTCCGATCGCTCCTCGCCCGGGACGCAGCGCTCGAGTTGGAAGCACCGAGGACCCTTGGCTGAGGCTTCCCGTGCCCACTGGAGTTAGGATGTTGCCTTGTGCCTACTGAGCCCAGAGTTCCTCTTGGCCCCGGGAAAGGCTTGAAGCGGCGGCGGCAGCGGCAGTAGCGGCAGTAGCAGACGGAACAACAGGATCCTCTTCGAGGGGGGCGTCGAAGCGCCCGCGCCGGGCTCTAGCTCTCACCCTCCGGCGGTTTTGCGGCGCCGAGCCGTCGCCTGTGTGCCAACCTCCTTCCTTTCCTCGCCGTGAGCCCCGGCCCGGCTGCCTCTAGGATCTGACTTGCCAGCCCCGAATGCTTGGGGCTACCCCCGCGCGCCCCCTTCGAGGCTCCCCGCACTGAGTGATCCACAGGGGGCCCTCGCACCCCTCTGGAGGGACCCCCGGCCTCGGGACCCTGCGCCGGACCCAACGATGTCCGCGCAGCCCCCGGCTCTGACGCTCTGC